CCAATGCAATTGACCACTTCCAAAATGATGGAGAATTGGTGATGATAGGAAAAATGGAGGATGATTTCTGGGTGCCAAAAATCAACTTTCCAGATACTTGTTCACATTGTGCCAAACTTTGTACACCATGTAAATAATCTGATGGATGAACAATGCATATTTTTCCATATTTTTAGAACCTGTAAGGGGTTGGTGTAGGTGCCAACCTGTCAGGGATGGTACAGGAGAGGCAGGGGTAGTGGCCCAGGCAGCGGTGGAGTAACAGGAATGTATGGCGAGTGGCCCTCACTCAGGTGTCATATCCATACAATCCCGACCTCCGCTCCGGGCTCCTGGAACTCCGAACTCCGACTTCCGGAGCCCTACTTCCCTTCCGTCACCTTCTCCTTGCCGACTCCCAAGAGGTTATCCCACCTCCGGCTCGGACACCACCTTCGGTCCGACTCCGGAACATTCCGGGTCCGACCCCAACCTCGACACCTTCCAGACGAGTACGCAAAACCTATGCTCCCGACTCCGGACCTCCGCTCCGGAATCCCGTTTGCGTCTCTGTCTCCGGAACCTCCGGTCTTAGCTCCGACCTCAGACTTTGACCCCACCTCCGCTTATACCCATTGTATTGGTTAGCTCATTCCATTTAATTACGTTTGCCAATATTCCGGAGTTTAACCTCCGAGTTCGGACTTTCCGGACTTACTCTGGACCTTGCACCTATTGCATTGTCCATTTCAATTCCGCTATTCTCCCTCATTCCTATTTGGGCTGCTGCTTCCTTCTATTCAGTCAGCTAGCCATTCCCGACTCCCATCCTCCTTCCTTCCTCCTTGGGCCTTGGCCCTTCATTCCTCCTTTGGGAAACACCATTGAGTCAAACACTTGACCCTCGGTGTTGTTCCTCTTTCCATCTCCCTTTGTCTCCTTTTGTCCTACCCTTGTTCCTTTTGATTCCGGACCCCTCCTTATATACAATGTACCTAGTAACTTGTAACCTCAGTCCGAAATCGACATGAATTCCCCCAAGAGACTTTCCCTCTGCTAGATCCGAAATTAGGGACCCCCAGGACAACCAGCAATGGCACAGCGCTCCACCTGAGTCGCTGAGGCCGAGGTCCTTCCATGCTAAGTCTCCGATTCCATTCCGGAGTCGTCTGAATCCGCCCATTCTAACAACTCAGGCTTGTGTCCCTATCTGGCTTCTTAGGCTGAAGCAGTAGTGGTTGTTATTAGAATGAAAGGCTAAACTAAACTAAGCTAGACTAAGGTACTTGAAGTGAGAAGAAGGCTACTTCTTCAGTTCTGCTTTGGCTCAGTTTATATGCCGTACAGTTTCAAATGAATGGGTTTGCAACTTAGAAGTTTTTTCTTTGCTCCAACTCACACACTCCACTACTCCACTACACTCTCTCTTCACATGCAACACCAAATTAACAACTCACAATACCCAAACAAACTGAGCTGTGGGAACTGCATGAACACACATGATGATGCATGTCTCTTTTTCCTTTTTTTTTCCAGTTGCATTCACAACACGATGTTTTTTACTCCACCCCAGATGTTCCTTACTTGAAAAAGAAAGAATGAGGGTGGGTTTGTGTAAGGAATGGTAACCCCACCCCTTACTTTCTATCTTTATTCTATGTGTGTCTCATAATAAACATGTATAAACAATGTATATCCAATAACATGGGAATTGGGGAAAAGGAACAGAACTCCTTTTCCTCCCCATCATTGATAATTAAAGCTCAACTTTATTGACAACCTGAGGATTGAGGAGAACTGGGGTTGGAACCTACACCAACCCCTTACAGTTTGCCACCCAAAACTACCCTGTGTTGTATGTCAAGTTGTAAGTATGGCAGTTCACTGTGTTTGTTGCTAAACTGACCACCTAATTACCCTCTTGTGCTTGTTTACATGAGCCACCACCATTCCGCAATTGCCTGACCCTTCCCCAATACCCTCTGATACATCCCCCTCCCTTCCCATGATTTTTGTATGTTTTTTCCATGTCATTTCCAACCTCCAACCAAACTTCTCACGTGCGACACTATCCCCAACTTCTTACCACATGTACTCGACAACCACTCATCCGTGGCCAACGATCTTAAACTTGTTCGATAGAAGATAACTAGCTCTACCTTTATGCCGGGTTTGGTGCCAAACGGTTCAGCGGTTGAGGTGCATGTCTGCTTTCTTTGATTACATTGTATTTTCACCCACTTTCCTCTTCTCTTTATTTTGTGTTTCATTTTGCATTACATTGTGTTTGGGTACTACTGTAATAGTATCTGGGTTCTTTTCCCAAGTATGTATGCAACATAATGTTCAAATATAATAACTTTATTGATAAACTTCAATGTGGGAGAGAATGTGATAGCACACCAATACAACCAACTATACAATCACTGAATCAGCTCAATCACCCCCATAATTGGTGTGATTACAATCAGGGGACCCAGTTGAAGTGATTGTAAATCATGTGAGGTTGAAATGATCTCAACCACTTCAATCAGCCTCAGGGGTTTTTGTCAGGGACTGTGTGTCAGTTCACGACGATGAGGGTGTTCCTGAGAATCCTAGTCGTTGTTAACGCTGAGGTGCCACCCTCAGCAGAGATAGAAGTTATATACATGGGTACCGCTACCCACTAGAGTGTGGCTACAACGAGATAGAAGATAACCGATAGAATGACGACATGAAAAGATAGCTATTCATTTGGATAATCGTAAGCGAGGTGTGGGAAAGGGGTGACATGTGGACGGAAGATAGGAAGCAGGAGCTAAGCGAGATTACCTGCGTTCTTCGGATCACTCCGGATTGTCTTACGGCAACTCCCTTCCGGCATAGGGAGTCAGGGTGGCCAGTTAGGCCATGCCCTGACAGTTTTGTAAGGCCAGCCAGGGTGCCGGCCTTGGTGACTCCTCAATCCTCAGGCTGTCAGAAGCTAGACTGTATGGAGCTAGTATTCGACAGGGGGGAAGAGCAAAGCTCCTTTTCCTGACCCCAGACTCTATTTATGTACATACTGTCACATCCCAGAATCCCAACCCTGCACTCTCCCACCCCACTACACCTTCCTAATATAGAAAATATAGGGTTATGGCAGTTCCAGGGCCGGGGTTGGACAAGATGACAGTAGACCACTAAATAAAATTGTCGGCACAAACATATGTAAATACATGTTTCAAGGCTGTCCTCCAACACCTAACAACCTTGCCATCCCCTACACCACTCCTCCTTGTGTTCTCACCCAACTCCTGCCCCTACAGTCTCAGCTCTGGCCTGGACTTTGGCACATTCACCCTTAGCCACCTCCATCCCGGAAGCTTGGTTTCAAGTCAGAACCTTCAGAATCCCCGGATTGCTCCGACCTCCCAACAGACCTCCAACATTCTGTTATATACTTCTAAACCCTTCCTCTCTCCATTTCATTTATTGGAGCCACCCAACATTTCTCGGATATGTAACTCCAGCTTCAGAGCTACCCATATTCCCTGGTGACTCCACCCTCATCATCTTAATTATTCATGGCTGTCAGCTTCTTTCCATTCAGTTGGCTAACTTCCCCTTACCCATTTCTCGTTCCCATTTAGTCCCCAGTCTTCAACCCCACCTCCCTCAACCCGACACCTCGGTTCCCCATTAATGATAACCTTCAGTACCTTTCAGTATCTTTCAGTACCTTTCGGTATCATTCAGACTTTGACTAAAGTCCTCCTCCTCCACCTTTTATATATACCTGTAGATTAGAACCCATTGTACCTCAGTTCTAATCTTGACTAAAATGTACCCCCAAGTTCCCCTATGAATGATTCATGACCCCCTCTTACAAGATACCTCAGACATCTGAAATTAAGGACTACTAAGATGTAATGGAGGCACAGCACTCCCCTCCGAGTCGCTGAGGCCGCATCCTTCTAAGAGCCTCTTGTATTAGCCAGCAGACCTGGGCTTCCTGGAGAAGCTTCAGTTCACTACCAGAGCTCTCAGAACCCCTCTAGTTGAGCCCCATCTGCCCCAGTGATCATCACGTTTTGACACATACAGGTGTTATACATTGTTTATTACGAGGAATATTAATGAATAAAGAATAGAGGAAATGCGTGCAAAGCGTGCATCATCCCATCCCTGTCCATCCCTTACAGGTTTCCTGAGGCTCTGGAGGAAATGCAGAAGTGTGAGCCATTCCTGGATGTAAGGAAGGGATGGTGGTTATGTTTATTCTTTGTTATTCCTTGTTGTACCTGTGTATTTACATATGTATGGTGCAGAGTCAGGTAAAGGGTTCTTTACTCTTCTCCACACCATGTCAAATACTAAGTTCTGTATAACCTAGATATCGACTGACCTGAGGACTGAAGAGGCACCAAGGTCGGCACCTACACCGACCTTACACTGGACCAGCCAATCTCCTCCTGATTCTCCTGGTGCTCTCCATACTCTGGAGCACTCAGGAGCATAACAATTTTTTGCTGATGCATTTCTATAACACCTCCACAAGATGTTTTTCTGAAGTTACTCTCAAACTCACCCTTTCTACCCTGATGTCCTGGGGCTCTCTCTCCTGCACTCAAAGCACCCCTTGCTCTCTGATGGCTTCCCTTCAGGCTGTGATCATACAGAGAAAGGTACCATACTGTCCCAAAATGTTGATGCTGTCACATGCATTAGAAGTTGCAGCCCGACGCCACTGGCGGTTCGCGGACCGTACATTCAAAACTGGGGGGGCAGTAGCCGTGAGTGTTCAGGGGAGTTAGGAAGCCTGGGGTAAGGATAGCCATCTGTTCAGTACCATTGTCAAGGATCTCAACTGGCTCATGCCAGATGCCTCCCAATCCGAGGGCTGCAAGGCCGATGTGACGCATGACAGCCGACCGATGGCATACATTTCTGGACAGTGTTGTAAACTGGAACAGAGCTCATCGGTTTAGACATAGAAAACCGGCTCGGAGAATGCAACGGGGTTCAACAAAGGGCAGGTAAAATGTATAGTAGCAACGTCTTCAATGTTACAGAATTCTATTGTGGAGAGCACACGCTTTGTTCTGACTCAGCCAACAAGCCTCGTAATACTACACACTCATCCGATCCAAAGAGAGTTCACGAGTGATTGGAGAAGTGGTACGTTGATTGCTTTAGTGAAGCTAAAGGCCCAGAAAAAATCCTTAGTGCAAGCTACAGAGCCAGCAAGTTGACACACCAATGCTTTGAAAGCTTGGAAACACTGAAAAACGACACGGCGATTCTCCAAGGGCTTCATGCCTTGAATCATATAGTTCAAACGATCTGGGACAGGAGGCACAAGTCTCTGCACAGTCGTAGCGAATGCAGGGTACTGGCCGGTCACAATTGCCTTGACCAGGGCTTCTGAGACAGGAATCTTAAAGAAAGTTGGGGCGCTTCCGATCATCGTGATGCCGGGAATCACAGCATGTGCAATTGTGGCAAGACCTATGCGTTCTCGTCCTTTGTTATTCTGATAAAACGCGGCAACAGCTTCGGCCACAAGCTGAGGTTCTGGGTTGACGCTGGATAAATGGCGCTATTGGGTTGATTTAGACGCTGAAAACGACATGGCTGGACATCATGTACTTTGTCCTCCTGTACAAGCAATAAATACCTCGCGGCTCCACGTTCCATAACACAAACATCCGTCTTGGCAGACACCCGCTGTCCGCACATCTCAAAAGAGAGTTCTTTCTGTTGGTGAATGATACGGCGACCAGAGTCATATCCCATCAATTTAAGAACGATAGATGCGAAATCATCCACGAAAGACTCTTCATTGGGAGGAATGGCAATGGCATCCTCCAAATACGCGAAAAAATCGATGTCTGCCTTGGTTGCGTCGGGCGGTTCATCAATGTTGCTCAAGATTACCGGTGAGACATCGAGTTGGTCTGGAAGGGGGTGCCCAAAGAACTCATATGCGTCTTCATTGGCTATTCCAATATTGAAAGCATAGAGTTCATTCTCTCCCCAGTCACTGCCAGACTTGGCTGAGCGGATTAAATTTGCCATTGCTCAAGCCTTCAAGAAGGATAGTGCCGGGCCGCGAGAATCTTAGTAGTTACCGAACTGACCTCATCGAATATATGCGAGGCGTGCTGGAGTCCTGAGGAGGTGTTTCCGATCGGGATCTACGGTTTGATATGCATGATATGTCAACTGGCGATTGACAGGAGGGGCTTGGGAAATACTGCATTCAGTGTGTCGTGAACTCAAAGTTGGGACCCTCTCATGTGGACGAACAGCCTCTCCGAGCCACATCAGGTTATTACATTATTGTGCGCGTAGTGTTTGGCTATGCTGCGCAGGATGCGTGGTCCCAGATCAAATGATAACGCAGTGGTCAAATGAAATAAATGGCAGCGGTATCGAAAAACCGGCGGGTTTACTTTCACCGCGCTGGGTCAAATGTAAGTAATGAATCGGTCTAGGGAAATACTTGAAAGCATGACCCTAACTCCGCGGACGTGATCAATCAGAAAGAGTTATGTACTCATGTCATTCCCTTCGACGTGAAAGACAATGCAACCGATCCTTGAGGTTACTATCAGGCCTTAATATGTTCAAAAACAGAACACAAAGCTACGAGTTGTAAGATCTGGTGGGTGTAGGATGTTGGCATGGACTTCTTCTTAGGTTCTGCACATACGGTGGGTGTGAGCCACGCTGCTCCCTGCCACTATGGCAGTAAGTGAGAATAAATCAGTCGTGGTGTCACAATTTCGTATGCAATTGATACGCCCAAATTCACTTGCTCGATGGCCGATCAGTAAACCAGTTGCGAATGAAAGATTGAACCAGGTGATTCTCACCTTCACGGATTCGGCGTGGGGTAGGGATATTCCTCGACAGTCAGAAGAACGCTCCCTCGGACGACCGCAAAGTCATTAAACTAGGGAAGAGAACAAGTTCCGGAGAGACAGCTAGCAGTAACGGAAAAAACCAAGGGGTGACTGCAGAATCAGGGAGGGACAATTTCAGGTGGCTGTAAAACTCACCAGGCAGCGTTTTGGCCCTGTCCATGCAAGGATGGGGGGTATTCAAGAGAGCAACCAGAATTTATGATGATTAGAATATCACAAGATAGCAAGAAGACGAAGATGAAGGAAGAGATGAAGGAGGGGGGCAGAGATGGGGGGAAAGGGAAAGAGTGAATGGATAGGCAGTCGGGTATCGCGACCCTTATATCTGAGTCCTGAACTAAACGCGATGGATTTTCCTCAGCTTCCTCGTTGAATTTTTGATATTGTGTTTGATGTATGTTGTTACACGATACTTTGGGAAGAAGAACAAACTCACAGTTTCGGAACATGATTGCCACCGAGGACAATGTGGAAGAATGGTTTTTGGCCGAAGTGGGGGAACGGAACGATTAACCTTGGCAGAGTAAAGACAAGTTTGCACGAGGTGCAAAACCACGACTGTGGGCTAGATGGATCAGATGAGAACACATAGTATTGAGGTCGAATCAGGTTAGATATGCGTGCGCAATGGATGTGTGAGGAAGTGTATCGCTGGAATGATCCAAGTTGGCTGGCGACATGAATCCTTTGCGGCTTCTCCCAGCTAAGGAAATGCCCGGGTACCGTTATGGCGGTTTATTGAACAAAGTAAAGGAGCAGGTGACAGCCGAAACGCCGATAAAACTACGAAGGGAGGGGGGGTCAGGGCGCCCAGGAAGGGTTGGCATGGGAAGCATTACACCAACAGAAACCAGGTTGCCTGCTGTAAAGGGGCTTCTCATTGCGAGTTTCAATACAATGACCATTTATTCCTTCAGGTCTCCCTAACCCTGGCGATTTACGCATTTGGACAGAAAGAGTCCTCCGGGATTTTCGAAGAGCATTTTGGGACCACCAAGTTCAATAGGAACTGAAGGGCCCATGGGAACACATGAGCGAAGAGGGCAAGTGCCAAGGGTGCACATGGGTGAGAGCCGCATCTTGACTTCAACTTGAAGCACATATGGAGCCGCCCCCAACTGGCGGATTTACTTGTTTCCCGCGAAATAACAAACTGGTGACTTTGGCGACTACCGCTTACGGGATCAAGTCCGGTTACGGTCCACACACAACAAAGACGCGACTCCAAGTCCAGAAAAAGGAGGCACCGCCGCCCTCAGTTCTCAGTTACAAGTTTTAGTTCGTGAAGGTGAGCACCGTCTTCCATAATCATAGATGGATGCCAAGATTTACGATAGAGCGAAATGCTCCAGACCATATCATCGCCATTAACCACAACGAGTGAATCCTGGGCGCTTGGAGCTGTCAAATTTCAATTTGCTACATCACGTGTTCTGACCAAACAATTCAGATTTCGTTCTCATGCGGCGGAGTTGTGGTTTACTCAACTCCATTGAAAGGAGCCGAATTTCTAAAGAGGTCCCGTGCGACCGACCCCACAAGCAGCAACCCCATCGTGCTCGGAAACGCGTGTTCGCATTTTAGACGCTCATAGATACAGCTGAGGCTGTTCCCTGCAGGCACCAATCATCAACCATTGGAAGGCACCGCCCTCCCTACAAACCTTCAGGCACAACGCCCGCGAAAGCTACGCTTGGCCACCCAACCAGAACAAAACAAAAAATTCCAAGGTAAGTCGCTACATGAACCAGACACTGACCCTTCTGCCAGAAGGGCCTCGCTCCCGAAGCGTGTCGCCGGGGAGAACAAGCCACAGCCCTGACCCGCCTGCAGTCCCATCCACGCCCAAGAAGAGAAAAAGAATATTCTCTCCTGACAACTCCCCAAACTCCTCACCAGCCACCCCAAGGGTGGCATACAGAACCCACACCAACATAAGCTGGGATGCAGAAGATGCAACCCCAAGCGAAAGACACCAAAGGTACATCAAAACTGTTGACTGCCTCCTCGACAACATAGTAAGCCATGCACACAAATACCAAGACATCACCGATGAGTACAAAAAAGAGGGCCTCCCAAATGCAACCAAAACTAAACTAGCCACCCTACTAACAGACCTCAACATCACTCCTGCCCTGAACTGTGACGCTGAATCCCAGAAAGCCCTAGCCGATGTTGTGGGGACAAGTCCGTGCAGGTCAAACCAACCCTTATCACACATTTCACCCCCTACTGCATCAGGGACTAGGATTGGTGAGTTGTGGTAATAGTAGGAGTTGTAGAGACTGTGGAGGTGGTTCTGACGAGTCCAAGATCGTCGGATTTGGTGGATTGGTTGAGGAGATCTGACATTTTCTTTATTTTCCTTACTATTTTCATTCATTCACGCATGTGACTTTCCTTTTATATTTGTATCGGACTCTTCCATGACAACTGTACAGATAGTAGTTAGAGAGGGTTATCAGCACCGTACCCAAGGACCCCACTACATCTGTCTGACACTAGAGAGAGACCTACCCCCCCCCAGACCTGAGCCACGAGTCTAGATTGATAGACCCGTTACACCGATGCAATAGCCATTGCAAAACAACTCACCGACACAAATGCGTCCCTAGTAAAATAACTGGAAACAGTGAGAACCACCACACCAACCCCTGCACCAACCCAAAACACAACTGTGACCAGCCCGGAAAACTACCCTCTGGACAACCAACAAGAGTTCCCTATGGATATAGCATCTACCCAAGCGACCAAACCATCAAGGACATATGCACAAGTAACCCGGAATAACGGTAATGTCCCTTCGTATAAAAAACACACAAAAAGACCTGTCCCCCCACCCCATGCCCCCATGCAACCATCAGACAGAAACCACCCAGCTCGACTAATCATCTCATCCAGACAGAAACTCCCGATGGAAAACCGAAAATTTGGCCCAGAGACAATACATGCCATCAACAAGTCACTCTGGAGAGCCAGCTTAGACCACAACCTAAGTATTATGGACATCGCAATGACCACTACTAACAATATAGTGATCACCGGTGCAGGACAAACGATAGCGACCAACCTACTGGGGTACACCTCCAAGATAATGGAGATCCTAGACCCAAACAACACCATAGACCAATTCCAAGGATTTCCTGACAAACAACTCTACAAAGTCAAACTTGACAATGTCCCGATGCACACCAACTCAAAGCCAACTATACACCGGAAGCAATTCTCTCAACCCTGCGTAATAACTACCGCGACTGGGACGAACTATACTCCCCAGACAGGGAGCCCACTTGGCTAGTAAAATCTCGCAATAAAGAAAACTCAACACTGGTCTTCACATATGAGGCACATGAAAAGGCTCAAAGATTCCTTGAAGCTGGCTGCTTCTTCTGTCTAGGCAACCACTGCACAACCTCAAGATTTGAAGAAAGAAGAAAGGCCTTCTACTGCAACCTATGTGGGTCACTGAACCATCGCACAACTGTCAGGGACAGCTCCGAAAGCGGCGAGGTCCTGGTGTGCAGGACTCGGTGGGACGAATAGCGGCTGTGCGTAGCGGCAATCCCGTTGCGGGGTGAGCGTTGTTGCAGGGATAAACCCTTGCACTACAAAACAGTGCTCTTTCATTCTTTCATGTACATACATTGGCGAGTGTAGTTGGGGTAGTCCCGTGACTGCACAGCCACAACTATACAACACCGTATCACAAGGACCTTTGGTGAGATTGAGAGAGGCAGGCAGGAGATTACTGTCCCCCCTGTGAGCCTGTGTGACGTTGGGATAAATTCCCTGTTACAGCGTCCCCGACCACTTATGTTATGGAAATGGGAATTTCCCATTTTAGACTCTTATGGGTTCTGTATCATGTGATTTATATAGTAATATAGTTTATCCAATCAATAATCAACAAAAACCCACTGCCACACTACCTGTTCAACAACATGTCAAACCATCTATGAAACCACCTGTAAACCATTATGTCCAACCCCTTTCCCTATTCCTGCGCCAGAACGGACGAAAATGGGCGCTTCCGGCCCCATTTTTGTAACAACTTAGTCTGAAGTGGAAATGTGAGAAGAAGGCTACTTCTTCAGTTCCCACTCCAGCTGTTATTATATACATGTGGGATCGATCATGTGGGGTGCACCACATCACCCTCGCACACAGCCACGGCTCTCTGGGTGCCTCTGCAGGAGATCCCGAGAGGGCCCGCTGTGGGTGCAGGGCGAGTGCAGCAGCGGTGGCGGCGATGTAGGGGTGGTAAGATACAGGAGGGGAAATGGGCATGCGTGCTGGTGATACATTGAGCAGCGGGAAAGGTGGTCCATGTAAGAGAAAGAAAGAAAGAAAGAAGGAAAGAAAGGAAGGAAGAGAGGGAGAGGGAGAGGAGGGGGGAGCGGGGAAGCGGAGCGGGGATCGGGCAGGGCATGTCGGGGGATGCCCTGACAACAATGGACTGCAACAAACCGAAATGTCTCAAATGCGCAGATGAAAATCACTCGACAAGTGAACATCCAGAAGATGCCCCATTAAAATGTGTTAACTGCGGCAAGGATCACGAACACAACAGCAGGAACTGCATGGTGTATATGAAGAAGATGGGTATCCCCCTTCCAAAACTAACCATTAAAGTTCACAGACGAAAGACCACAACCTCCAGCAATCTGACTGAACACCCCAATACCTCCCCTGCCCAGCCTGAACCCGCCACAGCAGAAAATGACCCACCAAGCAACCCTAATGCCCAATGAAGAACAGGCCCTCCCATATCAACATATTCAGCCTCAACGTAGCGAGGTCTCCAATCATTCACACCTCAGCTCTACATGTCGCATCCACTCACCCTAACATTAGATTTGATATCATACTAATACAGGAACCCTGGTGGGGCCGCCCCAACAACACATGGCTATCATGTAACATAACAGGATGGACACTCAGGTATCATCATCACACCCAGAACAGACATACTAAACCACCTTGACATACAGATACTAGACATAACAACACAAAGCAGTAACACAACCACCCGCCTATACAACATATACAACCAATGCTTACAAGACATGGGTGCCCACTCAATAGACATCTGAAGAAATTCAACACTGCTAGCGCTATAGACTTATGTCATGAATTCAACTGAGGTAAACCAGGTGACTGGACAAATGACATAAAATGGACAAGCCTGGTATCGAACCCAGGACCTCTAGTGTGCATCCATACACTACTCACCTGTTATGCCAGGGAGGTTACTCCATCCCTGATGGTTATTCCAACAACATCCTGTGTGCCACCTCCCTCGACCTGCTGACCCCCACAATCCTGACAGGGGACTGGAACACTGTCAGGGACCGACCCGGGGTCGAGAGCGTCTGGGTATATTGCCCGGGGCTGAGGGCCCGATAGGGTGCAGCGCGGGCGTGTGTAACAACGGGCCCGAAGCAGGCAAGGGTCCGTGGCCACTTAGACTAAAGTGGGAAGTGTGAGAAGAAGGTTGCTTCTCAGTTCCCACTTAGGCTGTGTTTATGTACATGCGATTGGAGGTCACGTGGGGAGCGCCACGTCATCTACACGCACAGTCGTGTCCACCCAGGTATCTCCGTAAGAGGTCTCAGGCACATCCGGTGTGTAGGGCATCACCCGGTGTGTCCGGGTCCGGGCGTGTTGTGCAGCCTGGTTAATGGTACATCGAGCAAGCAAGTCATCCATGTAGTAGAAAAGGAAAGAAGGAGAAAGAAAGGAAAGAAGAAGGAGAAGGAAAAGGGAAAGGGAGAAGGAGAGAAAGGGTGGGGGAGGATGGGGGCAGCAGGTGAGGATAGTGGGATCAGGTGGGGTCGGACCGGGTGGAGTGGGGTCAGGCAGGTGTGCCCTGACACTTTGCCAACAATGCAGCCACTCACCATGTGTCAGGGGATGACTCCCGGGTCCCCATGACCCTCCCCTAGGGCCCACAGCCTCAGGTCTGGCCAGCCCTATCCAGGGCACAATCCTACTGTGGGTCAGAGATGAGAAGGAAGTTAACTTCTCATCTTCCCACAGTGGCCACAATACATCGAAAACTTCCGGAGATATCCAGAAGTCACATGAGACCCGAGACCCAAGGTCCGGGCCATCCGGCCGCACTGAGTGTCCGGCACAGGGCGCGCGCGGGGAGTGCAACAGCTGGGTGCAGTTGTGGGTGCGGGTGCGAGTGCGGGTGTGGATGTGGGTATGGGCTAGGTCAGGGTGTATGCCCTGACACCATGACATCATTAGCCACTGGACAATTGACCCCACGATCAACTGCGGATCCGACCACTTCGTGTCAGGGCATGGATGGTTATCCGGCCAGCCCGGACCCCTATCTGGATAGGTTGAGTACCCGTAAGTCGATATCTGCGTGTGATTTGCTGTAGTTAGAATGCAGGTTGTATTCAATGCGCTATTTCCGCTATCGCATCATCCCTTACCCATTATTGCCCCCTTATCTGCATGATCTATTTCCCTATCTCATGTTGCTTCTCTATCGGCTACCATGTATTCCCAATGTAGCCACGCTCTTATGAGTTGTGGGACTTATGTATATAAGGCCTTATCACCGGCTGGGTTGGCTCCCCAGCTTTTACAATGACTAGTTTCCCGGGGAGATCCTTACGTGTGAACTGACGCATGGACTCTGACAGAGCTGTCAGGGATGGACCCTGGGTCCCCATGACCCCTCTCTACAGTCCACAGTCTAGCCTGTAAACACAGCCCATCTCAGGGCATAACTACTGTGGGTAAGAAAGTGATATAAACAAAGGGGCAAGTAGATACACTTGCCTACTGTGGGTAAGAAATAACGGAATAACCGCTTGCTCTAGTAGATAGCTCAGTCTCAAGCAATATGCGCGAGAACTATTATATTACCTAGTAGTAAAGCTATAAGGTAATATACAATGAGTTATAAGATATAAGAAAGAAAGAAAGATAACTAACCTCAGTCTCACTATATGCGCGAGAACTGAGGAAAAGGGAAACTAATTCAAAAGATTGAATATAGTTTGTGGACTTCGCGGATAAGTCCGAAGTAACCAAAATAAGTAAGAAGAAAAGGTGTTGTGACCAAGTAGTCATGCTACCGCGGGAATGTGGCTGTCCAGGCGAGTTCCTCGCTCGGATGTGGGAATGTGGCTGTACGAAAACTCGTCCGGCCTCCCATAGCACACGGTTCCTCCAACAAGAAAGTGAGAAGAAGGTTAACTTCTCACTTTCCCACAGTGGCCCCAATATGGCGAAAACTTCCGGGGATACCCGGAAGTCACATGAGGTGGGATCTGGGGTCGGATCATGCGGCGCACGGAGCGTGCGGCGCGGGAAGTGGAGCAGGTCCGGACGCGGGTCCGGGTCCGGGCTAAGTCAGGGTATGTGCCCTGACACTTCACAACAACCTTCCAACTGAAACTAGATGAAAACCAGGCAGCAACTCCGACCGACCCGCAAAAATTCATGTGGAGAAAACTAGACCAAATGAACTATTGGAATTATGAACTAGTCGCGAATTAGCGCTCAGTTCCAAAGATGTGAACTAAGTATTATTAGTCATTACCTAGTCGCGAATTAGCGCTAGGAAATATGTACAAGATTAGACAATATTCCAAGTGATGAAAAAAGGAGTCTCACCTCAGTTCCAAAGATGTGAACTGAGGAGAGAGGAAAGAGAAAAATCGCGCGAGGTGGCTTTTAAGCCATCCTCGACTGCGTTCATCAACATGGATGCCAAAAGTAGAAGCATCGGGCAATCCTTCATGGAAATGCCCGTGCGCAAGATGTATAGTCCGACGGACTCAATGGACAGTCCACAGCGTACCAAGAAAACAAGGATTTCAACATGAACTTCATCAAGTCTATTGAGAGAAGCCTCAACCCCGACACCGAAGAATACCGACATACGTTCCACCAGGTCCTCAACTGGCGAAACCAACCCCCAACCCACGCGCAAATTGACACAGCTGTTGAAAAACTGCAAGACTACATACTAAAGGCAGCGGAAGAAAACTGCCCAAGAAGAAAACCGTCTAAATGGGCCAAACCCTTCTGGACCATTGAACTAACCATTGCCAGGATGAATATCGTGAACACCAGAGAACTAGCCCGGGTAGAAAAATCAGCAACAGGTATTATAACCGAACAAACGAGGAACAGCATGAAACACACTATAGCAAGGTTCAAAAGGCTATTCAGAAAGACAAAAAAGTCCTTCTATACTGAAATCGCAAAAAACACTAACAACTCTAACTTCTGGCCCCTGGTGCGATGGAGCACTGGGGCCCAAAACTACCTCACCCCACATATAGGCCGAGGCGACGACCTCCCCCAGCCATCACCCACCAAGATAAAGTTGATACCCTCCGCACCCATCTCCTCCCCCGACCGCCGAACATCCATAACCCGCCCAGGACGAACTTTGAACACATGGAAGACGACATCCCATGGAACCCAATAACGAAGGGTGAAATCAAACGCACCTTATTCAAAGCAGCATCTTTCAATGCCCCAGGCCCAGTGAACTGAGCGGCATCGCATACAAGACAGCCTGGAATGCAGTGGAGAAAGAAATCACAGCAATCATTCAAGCAGCAGTTGAGACTGGATATCACCCGGCCCAATTCCATGATGCCCTTGTCATCACCATCCGCAAACCCAACAAACCGGACTACACACACCCACGGTCATACAGGCCCATACAACTCCTCGAAGTTCTAGGAAAGGTAATCGAAAGAATAATAGCTAATCGCTTATCATTCTATGCCAGCAAACATGAATTACTGCCCACAAACCAGTTCGGTGGGATGAAGGGAAGATCGGCAGATGATGCCACCCTCACAGTAGTTCATGACATCGAGGCCGCACTCAATCATAAACTGGTAGCCACATCACTCACCTTTGACATTACAGGATTCTTTGACACCCCCACCTCCTCAACACCCTGCGGGATAAGCATATCCCCTTACCCATAGTCAAATGGGTAGCATCTTTCTTAAGTGATCGCCGCACAGCTCTTATTCTAGATGGCATCCAAGACGAGATGAAACTGACACTAACAGGCATCCCCCAAGGCAGCTGTGTCTCACCGGTCCTAGCAGCCTACTTCTCAGCACCGCTGGTGAACACAATAAACGCAGCCACAGAGGAGGAAAACCTCCCAACAAGAACCAAGAGCGCAATTTTATCAGATTCCCCAAAACAATCGAACACGATCCTATATGTGGATGACGGCAACATTCTCATTATCTCCAAAACGATAGATACTAACGTAAAACTAGTGAGATACTCATACCTTGCGGCAGAAAAATGGGTCAGAGAAAGAGGCCTATCGCTCGACTCATCCAAAACAGGACTCATCCACTTCACTCACTCCAAACAGCCTCACCTAGATTTGCCCATTCCGGCACGAAACAACCGCCCTAGCTTCACCATCAAACACACGAAAGAAATTAAATGGCTTGGCATCACATGGGATACCAAACTATCATTCACCCCACACGTACGCAAAGCATGCGCCAAAGCAGCCAAGGCAGCCAATGCGCTGACCATCTTGGGAAACTCGATTAGTGGGATGCACCAGACACAGAGACGACTAATATACCTAGGGGCCATTGTCCCCATGATGACATATGGGGCCCCAACCTGGTGGCGTAACAAGAAATCTCACACACAGTTACTAACCCGAGTCCAAAACATAGCACTCCGACACATCTCAGGAGCCTTTCGCACTACCCCAAAATACGCCTTGGAAATAGAATGCAGCATCCCCCCCATAGACATCACCCTAGACTTCATAGTTCGCCACGCCACCCTACGATTCGCCAGACTCGATACCAACAACCCAATCATATCCCGCATACCCGCCGAAAAACAGATCCTCATACCCTCAGATTCGAACACCCCCCCCATTCCCATACCACACCCCAAAAGAAGAAACCTAAAAAACGTAGAGAAAAGAAACAAAAGAAAAGAAAAAGACCAAAATAGCACCCAAATTTGGAGAATGTCAAAAGAAACCGAAACAGAAATGGAACCAACGATGCTATGGCCCGAACCACCATGGACAAACACAGTAGACGACCTAGAAGGAAGAGTAAAAATAGAAATACCAAACAACGAACCAGGAGAATCAGCCAAAAAGTCTTGGGCGAAAGAACACAAACACGGTTTGAAAAGATGGAAGACCGACGTATTACTCTATACTGACGGATCACTCGCGTATGACCAGGGCATCCGAAAAACGGGGTACGGGTTTGCAGCCTACCACAGCGCGAATGTCATACTCGAGGGGAAAGGGGGAACTGGACCTAGAGTGGAAGTGTACGACGCAGAAATGGAAGGACTCGCCCAAGGATCAGTTCACCTGAAAGCATGGCTGGACGAACACTTCCCAATAGAAGACAGACTCACCATCCTAATCTTCGCCGACAACACCGGGGCCCTCCAACGCATCATGGCCACATCCCCGGGACTAGACATCGAACAATCGTTACGCTTCCGCAAAAACATATCCAACCTTCTAGCCGAACGGCCCCTCTGCAACATAATAATCAGTTGGGTGCCAGGCCATGAAGACATCAAAGGGAACGAACGTGCAGACACATTGGCCAAATAAGGATCCAACCTGCCATCCGTCTACCCACACACCTCCTCAGCGGCATTCATGCGCAATCAAAACAAAAGACAATTCAAAGACCAGTGGATCTCCCGCTGGAACACAGACCCTATACAGCAGAAAGCGTCAGAATACCGCAGCTGCAACCGCATAGAACCGCATCTCCGACCAACGAAGCGCTTCAAAGCTCGCTCTCGCAAAACCTTTAGCCGCCTAGTACAATTACGCACAGGCCACGCGTTCATCGGACAATATTACAACCGCTTCCTCCCGACAGAGGACCCCAGTTGCACCTGCGGGGAAACCGTAGAAACGAGAAACACATACTCCTCGAGTGTCCGAAATACGACCACTACCGAAGCCTGCTACCAGACGATGAAGGTGAACTGATCCTGGACGACCTCCTGGGGGAGGAGAAAGGAATGGACAGAATAGCGGGATTTCTGGCGGCGAGTGGAGCATATGAGAAGCAAAGAGAGACATAATAGGAGAAACCGACACGAACCGAGTTATGACATCGCTGTACGGCGAAACCCATCCCATTTTTCGACACCGTCACCCAAAACCGGCCAGCACAACGCGACAACTCAAAAGCGGAGCAGCATTCGGAGTTAACCTCGTCAGAACGCATGAGAGCACTCGAATCGGACTTAGATTATTATTTTCTCACTTTATTTTCGTGTATTTATTCCAACCCCTGCCCTCGGCGCTCTCACGAGCAGCCTAAAGTTTGCAGGATAAATATCCAGAATAAACAACAACAACAACAACCCCATCGTGCGCTGAGGACAGTGATCAGCCGAGGAACGGAGGGGACCATGATGGACGCAATCGGAGCAGAAATAGAAGCAACCCGACACCTAACCCGTCCCGACTCTACCCAACCAGAAGATCTTACACACCCGACCAGATCCCTCATGTACAGTGTAAAGAGCCGGGATAGCCGCACTGCCACACATACACACACACTCAACTGCTTTCTCAGATTCTCTCCAAGCCCGTTTTGCTCAGTCTTGACACAACCGAAACTGGTCACGATTCTGTTCTTACCCTTGTTCCATTCATTGTTTACTCCAATGATCTCGCACGCCTACTCGACGGGGCCCATTCGGGAGACCCTTCTAACCGTAATCTGTGGTCGTTATTTAAACACCAGACTAGTGGAAGGGCAGATCATTCCATATCTTGAAGGGTCTATATTTATTTTGGCTCATCGAGTCCAGACCTTGATCAACTCGCTTAGACATCAACAGTGCAGTACTTCCGCCGGGAGGTTCGTCTCTTTGTAGTTGAACCCTCATGACTAACACCGTGTAGGAAATGACTTGCTCAGTCTTCTTAATTCCCAATGCCACAAAACCAGGGTTGGTGAAACGAAAACAAGTAATTTGGTCTCTATTATCGTTCCATCCGCGTTTGCCGAGTCCTCTGTTATTGCCACTACTTGGAAAGATTTCCATCGAAAAGCAGATGACCACATTTCAACAACTTCGCCGTGCGACTCTGTCGATTCGCACGGGGTCATTTTGGTCCTGGTTGTTCCAACCCCTCTTGCGTGGAGCTTGAATTAACTTTCCAATTCACACACATCCCTGATCTGTGCGTCGTAACGATGTGGTGTGGTGTGAATAGCCCTGTTGGTCTTTCCATTTCAGGTGGAATGTTTGAGCATCCAGACGCATCTTTTCGTCACACTTTTAAAGCAAACATTACAACTGTCGAATCCATCGATTGACTAGCCTAATTGGCTTCCGACGAGCGATGCATGCGTGCACCCCTGACCATTCCGCTAGCTATCCCTGAAGTATGTATACGATGCAGAACTCTCGGCCGTATTATCTAGACTGCAACCCTGGCGCCTCTCCAAATTACGTTGACGTACCACGTAGTCATATATAACCAGCATCATTCGCACACATTCCTTCATCCCGGAAGTCCGGCGCATGCCTATTTCCGTAGTCAACGTTGCAATCCGATCATGACCGCCATATCAGCGATCGATGGCGTTTGCGGCTATGCAATGTTACCCGGTCTGGTCGTGGTTTCTTGGCGGTCCCACGCCTCGTACCGCACTTATTCCCCAGCTAGCAAGTCGCGTTAGCGCTGTCAGTCTCATGACATGTATATCCAAGATACCACCCACAGTTCCAACAAAGAATGAAGGCGCTATGAACATCGAGAATGTTACACAAAACTTGGGACTTCGTAACTTGCGCATGGACCTGCGACCCAAATTCTTATACACAAGATTTCCCCCACAAATACATTTCATCTTATCGAACGAATCGACCGAATCTCCGATTTCACCACCTATCACTGACTCGCTCAGGAGCAACGATTCACGAAGCCAGCGTTGGAACCGTAGTCCCTGAAGGTGCGGTATTGGTCAATCCGCCACATGAAATGATGCATGGACAACGCGATAAGAATGATTCCAACGATAGCGCACAGGGCAGTTACCACACGTGCCACAAGGTTCCCAAGCGTGAGGCATTGCGGGCGATAAAATACATGAAACGAACACGTACGTGGCAACGTCTGCACGTCCTGGATGACATTTTTTTGTATACGGTCACCCACCGATAAGCGTGGAAAGGGCGAGGGCTGCTTGAAATAACCTGCTCTGTATTAAAACATTGGAGAAAGTAGACATTGTATATTTCGCATCACTTACAACGGCGTCCTCGACATATCCAACTACGGAGTTTGCATGCTGTCCTGTAGTGATGTGTTCGTTACGGCCCCGACCTCGACTAGACCCGCAAGATGGGACCAGCCAAGGCTGAGCTGATCGCGTCTTCGACGCCTCCTTGGCACCCGGAGATTACCAAACCAGTTCCTGGAACTGCATGTCAGTATGAGTGCGAATACGCTTGCTCGAACGTCTTACCTGCTGGGACCCCAACTGAGCGTTATATCGATCCACGACATTGTAAATGCATGGGGTGTCATAGCTGAGCGCGAGTGCATATCATGCCGTAGCAAGCAGAAGACCATCAAGTACCTCGGTATGTTTTTGAAGAAAAAGAATGCCAAGGGAGAAAAAAACTGCGGGTCACTTGGGACTGAGTAGTTGTTAGCGGGGGTCGATGCCTCGGACGAATCCAAAAGGGGCGGAGACCATCCCGCTATAACATGCCATTGTGCCCATATTGGAGTTGGCATAGGGTTTGGCGGAGCAGTTACGGGAAAGAGGTCCCCGATATGTTGTACGAGTTGGCGGTGTTTGGATATATTACTGGTGATGGAACTGGGGCACACGTGGCTCGCATCGACAATCCCCTGCCAGAATGCAACGCTCACGTCCACACCTTGGGCGAAAGCATTTGGATCCACGAGCTGAAGGCAATAATGATCAAAGGCAGCATAGTGATGAACCGGCAACGAATACCCACAGTAAAGCTCAGCACCGGCCCCTCAGATGCCCCCAGTCTTGCTAGTGGTGTCATTAGGAATAAATGGAGAATACAGAGCGCCGATCCGGCCTAGAGATAACTCAGTACCTGTTGAAGGACTCCTTATGATATTGTCTAACTAATGGTGCCAACAAACTGGAACGTAGGATCAGTTGTCATTGGTGAATGGTACACCACGGAATCACGCACCCCTGCAGCATCCACAAACGGGGTACATCTCTTTTATTCGTATTGGGATCTGTGGAAGTTCTGTAGCGCAATTCGGGATGTCCCATGTCCGTTCAGCTCGAATTCCGTGATACACACATAGGAGACTATAGCGAGTTGTAAATCGCCATACGGATGCGTCCTCAGACAGTTAGACTGGTGAAAAACTGGGATTGTAACTCGTTCACTTGTACAGACGCGTACTTCATTTGGAATGGAAACATGATGAGTGTAACGACTTGTCGAGTAACATAACGAACAAGAAGGATACTAATCTTGTGAATGGGAACTGAGGGGAACGAAGTTTTAACAAGCTCCGTTCCTGGAACATCAGTGTCAGACAAGCCAACAATAGAATCCATCAGTCAGAAGGCATCAGCAAACCTCGAAGGTCGATAGAAGTGATAGGCAGCAATTCTATCTCCGCAATTTGCTCCATCCCCACAATCTATGTGTTGGTTGAGCCTCAATCAGTTCTATCACCACTACCCAGTGTACAATTACGTATCTCTACTTCCCACGGAAACTCCTTCATTACAATGAATATATTGAGCCACGGACTTTGCATCAAAAGCGGATTTTATTGTACAGAACTGAATTTCCTGGAATCAAATTTGGCTTAAGTCCGTTCATCCCTTTTTTCAAACTTTGAACTTGAAGTTTTGGCAAGCGAGAAAACAACTTCAAGACATTGAGCAGGCATGGGAGCAGCACCATATTAGTGAGTGCAGCATCTGCCTTCCAATCTCTCCTTCAGATACCAAGTTGAACATCAGCAAAAGTCTGTTATGCTCCGGAGCATCAGGAGTGGCTGGAGCATGTGGGAGACAAAACAGCAGATTGGGCACTCCTGGAGCCAATAGTGTTCTCCTGGGAGGGGGTTCAGGAGCGGCTGGGAGTGGTGAGGAGTATGCAATGTGCCAGGAGCAGTGGGAGGAAAATTTTGGTCTCTAAAAAGTTGAAAAAAAAAATTTAGGGAAAAAATTCAGGAACTATAGTGCCTTTAAAGTGCTTTCAGGACATATAATTATTTGCAAAATTGAGGAAGAAATGATGGAGAAAAATGGAAAATACTTTCGGAGACCTGAGAAGTAATGAGAACTGAATTGATGGGAAAGTCTGGAAATTGAATAGGAAAGTGAGGGGAAGCCTTGTAGCATTGTTATTTTCTGCTGTTGTGGTTTTTCCTGATTGTTCTTGGTCTCACTCCCAGCTGCTCCTGGACCCTCCCAGGAGCTTTCAGGAGTATTTAGGAGCAGCTGGGAATGAGACCAAGAAGAATCGGGAAAAATCACAACAGCAGAAAATAACAATGCTACAAGGCTTCCCCTCACTTTCCTATTCAATTTTCAGACTTTCCCATCAATTCAGTTCTCATTATTTCTTGGGTCTCCGAAAGTATTTTCCATTTTTCTCCATCATTTCTTCCTCAATTTTGCAAATAATTATATATCCTGAAAGCACTTCAAAGGCACTACAGTTCCTGAATTTTTTTTGATTTTTCCCTAATTATTTTTTCAACTTTTTAGAAGTCCCTATTTTTTCAAATTTTCCTCATTTCCCTCTATATTCCCCCCTCATTCTCCCCCTCATTCCCCTCCTCATTTCCCCCCTCATTTCCCCCCTCATTTCCCCCCTCATTTCCCCCCTCATTCTCCCCCATTTCCCCCTCCTCCATATTCTGCAAGTCCGAAAGTGATTAAGTTGCCAGATTAATCATATATCAGGCCATAAATTTTGACTGTGTATTGGTGAGTCTCAGTGTCCTTGATGTATAGTATAGTGTTTGATCTAAATGTTAAGTAGTGTCTTGTTGTGTTAGTCTTGTGGTAGGAGGTATTCATGGGGAGTCTTCCCTCTTTTTTTTCCTTTTCATTTTCAAATGCTCCAGGAGCTCCCAGAAGCTTCTCACCCCTATACATTTTGAAGCATTAAATTGCATTTACTGGATATGTTTGTGCACAAAGCAATGCTCCATGCCCTCCTGGGAGTGCCCTGGAGTACCTGACCAACTCCAGAGGAAATGAGCTGTTCCTGGACCGGCCAATCTCCTCCTGATTCTCCCAGTGCTTCCCATACTCCGGAGCACTCAGGAGCATAACAATTTTTTGCTGATGAATGCCCTCCCAACATGTGTATGGCTCCACCCCGAAATCCTGACAAACCCATATTGTTACAAAAATGGGGCCGGAAGCGCCCATTTTCGTCCGTTCTGGCGCAGGAATAGGGAAAGGGGTTGGACATAATGGTTTACAGGTGGTTTCATAGATGGTTTGACATGTTGTTGAACAGGTAGTGTGGCAGCGGGTTTTTGTTGATTATTGATTGGATAAACTATATTACTATATAAATCACATGATACAGAACCCATAAGAGTCTAAAATGGGAAATTCCCATTTCCATAACACATATCCTCATCCTGGCAGTGCTATTGCAGTGGCTCTAACAGTAATCCTGTGCCTGACATCTTTTCATGTTGATTAGGCTAGCCTTATGGACATAGCGCTGAGCGGCTACACTTGCGTTGTAAAGAGGGACTTAAGGTGAGACTAAACAGATGAAGTTACTATGCCGAGCTGACATGTATCTATTCTACATCAGGGCTATGCTACATATTGATGGCACACATGGAGAGGTGGTGTCCAATTAGTGGGAAGGTAAACTATGACATGCGCAAAACTTGGTAAATTTGGCCTTTAACTTGTTTCTCACTTTTGTGTTGATTTATTTACTTACTCAAAAACAAAATGTCATCTGTGTCCACTTGAGCTGATTGTGATAGCACCACAACCATTACTATCAGCATTGAAATAGAATTGATATGACATCTATATATCAGGGTACCCTCTAGAATTGATTGTGCAATAGAAGTGATATATAGTGTGGCAATCGACATGGGAGGTTTGCTGATGAATAATTAGCCTCAGAGATATGAGATGGCTATTTCTGA